TGGTAAGTCCGATTTCTTTGTCTTCGGAGCAGACACGGTCTGCGCAAGGCGAAGGGACACCCCATATCAAGATGAACGAGGACCTGTATTGTGTTTTTTAGCCTTTTGATCCTTTGGGTCCCACGGGCTTGATCTATTTACCATTTACCATTTACCTGGAGAAGGAGTTTACTTTGAGCGAGGAGATTCTGGAACAGGTTGTCGCAAGGGTAGGAGGAACGGTGGTGGAAGCCAAGGGCACTACACTGCCAACGTCTCCTGTGGAAGAGGTGAGACCCGAAGAAGGAAAGAAGACTTCGGGCGAAGAGGTGAAGACATTGGAAGTTACATTTCCTGAATTATTGCAAGATAGTGTAGTACCATTGTTGAAGTACTTGGACGGGAAGAGAAAGAAGTATGCTGTATCGAAGGAGCCAGGATTTTACGTTCAGATGATCAGGAACAGAATAAAGCTCAAGAGAGCAGTTGCAGTAAAGAGGGAGTGGGATTCCGCGACTGCATTGGCACAGGAGCGAGCTGCAACCTTGTCAGCCGAGTGCGCAGCAGTGAAGGCAACATTGCAAGAGCGAGAAGCTCAGCTTCTGGAGAAGAAAACTGAGTGTGAAGTGCTGCAACTGAATCTAGAGAAGGAATCGGGACGTTGTGCAGAGTTGGAAGAGACCTGCGGAGGACTTCGTACCTCTAATGAGAATGCCTAGAAGGTAACAGTGGATTTGATGTCGAGGTTGGAGGAATCCAAGGAAGCTTACGATGCAGCAGTCAAAAGGGCGGAGCGATTGATCGCGACAGCGGAGAAGCGAGAGAAGAAGCATATTGAAGACCTTGCTCAGTTGGAAGTCCAAAGAGCCAAAGAAGCTCGCATCGCCGAAGAACTTCGGGGCAAGATCGTAGGCAAGACGGCGGAGGAAGATCTTTGTAGGCAAATTTCAGAGATTGAATCGTAGTGTGAAACAGAATTCCGACGTGTGGAGGAGCTATCAGCAAGTCTGTCGGCGGGAAATCAGAAGCATGAAGACGAGTTGAAGGATTGGGCCAAGAAATTGGCAGAGTACGAATCGGCCAAGTCTTCGGAGGTCGAATGTAGATTAAAGGTTGAATCTGCCTGTCGACGGTTACGGGAGCAGTTAGGGAAGTCGGAGATGACATTGGAAGAGTCATAGAGGAGAATGCAAAAGGCAGAGGATGCCTATCGTCAATTGCGGGAGGATTCAACCGACGTGTTGAGATTGCGGTTAGAGAAGTGCCTGAACGGGTTCGCGATGTGGGGATTGGATTTGGTGAAGTGGTTGAAACTAGATCTGCTCGAGCGACGGCTGATGAATGCGAAGTCTAGTGGATCCGCAAGACACAAACAGATTGTAGAGTTAGTTAATTCATTTTCAGAGGAATTGAATGAGGCGCGCCAGAATGTAGAAGTAGAGATTGTAAACGTGTTGCGTAGATTAGGAGTAGAGAGTAGTTCAGACGATGCTGTAACCGTTACATCGAACGGCACAGCCCTTGAGGCCGATTTGCCTCAAGCGGTTGATATCGCAGAGTTGTCATTGTGAATAAAGAGGCCCAAGGCTCTTTCCGTGGGGGGCTTTTTTGTCAATTCGCTTGTCTCAACTGTCATTCTGTCTTCACTGTGTGTCCCTGTATTCGTTGTGTGTCCCTGTACTGGTGTGTGATCCAGACATCGAGCACGGCGCGCTCCTGGTTGTCGAAGTTACCGCGATAGGAGTTGTGAATATTCGGCCTTGATGTCTTGGGTAGCTTGGGGTTACCGTGGGATTTAGGCAAGTTTGGGTCTGTGTATTCGGGTCAGTGTGTTGAGATGTAGGCAGTGCTGGGAAGTTTTCCCCCTGAAATATAAGTTTGAGATTGCTTGCGATTCTTGCAAGTTGTGTTTGGAAAAGTTTTAGGTTGTGAGTACGGTTTTGCACTACTTTCTAAGTCTTCAGCTTTGGCTGACTAGTGTCTTCTGGGAGTAGCATTGGCCTAAGAAGTAAAACTTCGTAATAGAATGCTATCTTGTGACAAATCGTGACTTTTGTGTTTGTTTCTGTCCTCGTGGGATCGGATCTATGGTAAATGGTAAATGGTAAATAGATCAAGCCCGTAGGACCCAAAGGGTCAAAAGGCTAAAAAACATAAAAAATCTATACCATTATGCTCCATTTTGGTATTTGTCTGTCATTACACAAGCTCTTTTCTCCTAACTTCCACTTGTAGCGGAGTCAGATCAGGATCCAACCATATTCTACGTCCTTTGAGCAAAGACTTATTAGCTAAGGCAACATCACGTTGAGTTTGATTGACAAACTCCACTATAATACCACGAGGTTGAGCTCCCTTGTTTCCAATACAAAAAGCTTGAGCCAATTTTGGATAGGAAGCCTAAAGTGTTTCATCCAAAAACTTGGTGACAACACTCTTGACATCTTCATTCTCTATTTCAAGTAAACTTAAAATTCTCACATTCTTCCTACGCGCAAGGTGATTGGACTTTTCAATCTCTTGTTCTTGACAAAAAGAGATTTGAGCAGCCTTTGTAGCTTCAGCGTAGGATTTGATTTTCAGATCTCAGGTTTTGACCATCTCATGCAATCTAGGACTATCCGCACTTGTCATCTGAGAGCATACCTTCCCTTGGATGTCATCAACAGATTTAGACATGTCAAACATTACTGACACGTTATTATTGAACACCTTCTCCACATTCTTCTATGATCCCTTCAACTCTCAAATTTGATTATGTGCAAGAGTTAAAGCATCCGCTTGCATCTTGAATTTATGTCAAAATTCCTTCAATTCTTCAAAGATCCTTTGCAAAACCTGAAATGTCGTCTTGAGAAGCCATATCCTAGCAACATGATATTTTGGTATCACGCTAACACTCTGAACTCAAAGTCAAAACTCCAAAAATGTTGTAAAATCCGATTGAAGCCTCCATTCACCTTCAAACGTTTTACGCTATTGCTGAATATTGATCTCCAAGTCCGCACAAAGTTTCAGCGTCAGATCATGCTTCGTCAAACAGATAAAAATGTCTAAACATTTGGTTGACCACCTTAACACTTGAAACTAAAAGTCAAAACTCCAAAAATGTTCTAACTTCCAACTCAAGCATCCATTCACCTTCAAACGTTTTAAGGTACTTTGAATACTGATCTCCAAGTCCTTACAAAGTTTCAACCTCACACCATGCATCATCAAAAAGATAATAATGTCTTAACATTTTGGTGACCACCTCAAGAGTCGAAACTAAAAGTCAAAACTTCAAAAATGTTGTAAGTTCCAACTTAAACATACATTCATCTTCAAAATTTTAATTTATTACAGAATACTAATCTCCAAATGCCCACAAAGTTTCAGCCTCAGATCATGCTTTGTCAAAAAGATAAAAATGTTTGAACATTTGGTGACCACTTGAACACTCGAAATTAAAAGTCAAAACTCCAAAAATGTTGCAACTTCCAACTCAAGCATCCATTCACCTTCAAACGTTTTACGATTTTGCCGAATATTGATTTCCAAGTTTCCACAAAGTTTTAGCCTCAGACCATGCTTACTCAAAAAGATAAAAATGTCTGAACATTTTGGTGACCACATGAACACTCAAAACTAAAAGTTGAACTCTGAAAATGTTGTAACTTCCAAGTCAAGCATCCATTCACCTTCAAACGTTTTCCACTTCTACCGAATATTGATCTCCAAGCTCCCACAAAGTTTCAGCCTCAGATCATGCTTTGTCAAAAAAATAAAAATGTCTGAACATTTTGGTGACCACCTGAACACTCGAAACTAAAAGTCAAAACTCCAAAAATGTTGTAACTTCCAACTCAAGCATCCATTCACCTTCAAACGTTTTAAGGTACTGCCAAATACTGATGTCCAAGTTTCCACAAAGTTTAAGCCTCAGACCATGCTTTGTTGTAAAGATAAAAATGTCTGAACATTTTGGTGATCACCTGAACATTCGCAATTGACACTCAAAACTCAAGAAATCCGTGAACTTGGTCTTCTTGACTCCAAAAATGTGTGAAATCTTGCACACTAGAGCGCGCCATCCACTTCCACGCCCTTGCAAATTTCCAACTTTTGTGGATCTTTCGATGCGAAGAAACAATCTCTGCAAGAATTGATGTTGGCCCCAACACTCGAAATTTGTGAACTTCAGCGTCGCAACTTCAAAATGCGTGAAATTTTGCAGGCTAGAGCGCGATATTTAACTTCACTTCTTTGCAAATTTTTAGCCTCGGTGGAGACTCCGCCGTGAAGAATTGATCTATGCAAGAAATGATGTCGACTCCAACACTCAAAAACTCCAACTTGAAACTCGAGAAATTTGTGAACTCAGTCGTCTTGACTCCAAAATGTGTGAAATTTTTCAAGCTGGACTGCGCTATTCATCTCCACGGATCAGCAAATTTTCAGCCTTGATGGATATTTGAACGCGAAGAAACAATCTCTGCAAGAAATGATCTTGGCCCCAACACTCAAAACTCCAACTCGAAACTCAAAGAAATTCTATGAACTTCAGCGTCGCGACTCCAAAATGGTTGAAATTTTGCAATCTGGAGCGAGCTACACAAATCCACTTCCTTGAAAATTTTCAGCCTTGGTGGATACTCTGACGCGAAGAAAGTATCTGTGCACGAAACGATCTTGACCCCAACACTCGAAAACTCCAACTTGAAACTCGAAAAATTTGAGATGTTGGCCGCAAGTCTCTGGACCGTTACGGTGGCCTTTTTAGAAGAATAGCATATGAAGTTTGGGTCCTCACATCCAATTCTTCTTGTAAGAAGATCTTTTGCACACTCTCTAAACGCTGTCAACCTATCTTCTTACAACCAGAATGCCACACTTGTGTTCCATATAAGATAATAGGAAACACTAAGCTCCTGAATAAGAATTTCCTAAGACTCAAAGACATTAGATGAGCTACTCTACATTTATTTAGCAATGAATATAGAGCTTTGAAACCAGCTTCTATCCTCTTTTGCACATAAAGTGTCCAACTATAATCGTATGAGAAATCAATGCTTAAATATTTATAACTCTTCACTTGTTCCAATTCTAATACTTTGTAAAAGAAAGAAAGCTTGGATCTAGTGCCCACAAGAATGACTTTTGACTTCTCCAAATTGACCTCCATCTGATTTTGAATACAAAAGCTAGCCAAAGTGTCAAGGTGTTTCTGTAAACTAATGACATGACGTGCTAGTAATATGAAATCATCTACATACAAAAGAGCTTTGATGACAAAGCTTCCAAGTTTGACACCTCCACGGACACAATCCTCTAACCACCTTTCTATATCATCTATGAAAACTCCAAAGAGAATAAGAGAGAAAGTACAATCTTAAATGACTCCAATGATACTCAAAATCTCTTTGGTTTGAGAAGTGTTGATCTTGGTCCAAACCGAGTGGTATAATGTGAGAGATTTGATGGTACTCCAATGGTCTGCAATTTTTCCCACAAAAGTTCACGAGGTACTGTGTCAAAAGCTTTCTTGAAGTCAATGAAGGCACAAAACAAAGCTTTTCCAAGGATAATCCCTTGAATATCTCCCATAAAACACGGAAAACCAAGATATGGTCTATAGTGTTGAATGTAGGATGAAAACCAGCTTGAAACAGCGCTGTAATGATTATAGTTTGGCACTTTGTAGTAACCTAGTTTTTCTTTTCTTTCTCAAAATGAAAAGTTTTAGAGATTATATGGAATCCATGTGTAAGGCTTTGATTGTAAGAAGACAGGTTACAAGCGTGAGAAAGAATTGAAAGTGCTCTTGGCAGAGCATTTTCAATTCTTCCATAATCGTTTGCAGAAGATTGAGTATCATATTGTCTTGAGAAGCCATCATGTAAATATCTTTCAAAAACTTCACACTCAAAGATGTCTCAACTTTGTCCTTGGAATTGCGTTAGGTCAAAATTTTTGAAGGCTCTTGCGCCTTCTCCAAGTCCAAGCTTCCACACAGTTTCAGGTCCAATATACATCCAAGCTCGAAGAAATAGCTTACGTAAAAATCGACCATCATTCCTTCAAATCTTGAAACTCAAAAATTAATGCACTATGTGTCTGGAACTTTGTTGAACCTGAAAATTTGCAAGGAAATGATAAATGGTAAATAGATCTAGCTCATGGGATCCAAAGGATCAAAAGTCTAAAAAACACAATACAAACAATCCAATCCCAAACTAGGAAAGAATCAAAAGAACCCACTAGCTAGTGCCAAGAGCACTAGCTAGTGAGTTAAACCTAAGTCATAAGGCTAAAGCTGTAATAAAGAAAAAAATTCTCAACAACAACAACTTTATGAGCCACTCTAATCCCTACATATCTAGTACAAGTAACAAACACATGTTTTTCATCCTCAACTCTTCTCCCATCACATCAATGTTCAACCAACACTCTTTCTCAATTCCAAGACTATGAGATCATGTTGTATGCCGAGCAATAAAATGACATAAAGATGTAGAGATCTCTGCAATTAGATATCATTGCTCACAATAAACAAGCTTAAGATTCACATGAATTTGATAAAACTTCATTTTAATGCCTCTTATGCTCCAAATAATGCTGAGAAATTCTTCCTTACTACACTCGCGAAGGGCCATAGGTTACAAATACTAATGGAGTTGCGTCATATTCCTCCTCAAAGACCAAGTCACCACAACTACAAACCATCCCTTGGGACGTGTGGCACGCAAAGCTTCAAGAGGAAGTTGAGAAGCATCAAAAGATTTCACTCTTGTGACGTTAAATGATAATCAAGAAGAGAACTTAAGCCTCAAGAGGTAGATAATATGTTTCCGCAAAAAGAATAACATATGAAGTTTGGGTTCTCATATCCAATTCTTCTTGTAAGAAGATCTTTTGCATCCTCTTCAAACGTTACCAATCTGTCTTTTTGCAACCAGTCTCCCACATTTGTGTTCCATATAAAATAATCAAAAACACTAAACTTTTGAATAAAAATTTACTAAGACTCCAGGACATTTAGATGAGTTACTCAATATATATTAAACAATGAATATAGAGAATGAATAAAAATCTCAGACTTAACGAAGTTAAAACTTTTTCATTATGTATTTATATATTAATGTGTAAATAATCATACTTCTTTATATTCTTTTGATTTCTAGACTTTATTTATTTTATGGTGGAAAATGGTCGCTAGTATACATTACCGCTTTACCTGGAAGACGTTCTGATGGCAGAGAATCGGTGGAACTCATAAGGCGTGATATCTACGAAGATGAGAGGATCGAATGATCTCGATCAAGCAAGCCAAGGATGCTGAAGAATCTCTGGAACGGTCGCCAACCGACCGTTGGGATCATTATGTCGACGGATGGGGCCTATGAGATCTAACAAATTCGTGGCCCGAGCGTCGAAGATCTGCGTTCTAACCGGGGCCAGATCGTCCGGCACGTACACCTCATCTTCGGAAAAGTCGACCTCGGTGCCGGCCAGAATGCTATGGAGGATGTTGCCTAATTGTCGAATGTCTTTAAATGTTTGCGTGTAAGGATCACCCGGTGGATGCAACTCGTCATCTTGATAGTATTGTCTCGGTTCAAAATTAGCATGAGTCCTGGTGGCCAGGTCCTGGTGATAGGTGGCCAATCCGAAGTCTATGACTTTGATGTCCCTCATGAGCGTCGTGGCGAACATGACGTTCTGCGCTTTCAAATCGTTGTGCACCACTCCATGTTGGTGCATGAAGTGGACGGCTTCGACTAATTGCTTAAAGATCTTTTTCCCTCTGTAGTTGTTGGCACTCGGGTAAAAATCTTCCAAATTCTTTGCGCAACATTTTTCGGTGACGATGAAGAGTTTCTCTACACCCAATATCAGATCGCGGAGCTCGACTATGTGCGGGTGGGGAGAAAGCACGCGGTTCATAATTATTATTTCATTGAACAAACGTCTCAATTCGGGAACGTCGGGATTTCCGGCTACGTCCTTGGTTAGTTCCTTCATTGCCAATCGGATCCGTTCGTTTCCTATTTTTCTAACCTCGTAACATCGCCCAAACGCGCCTTGGCCCAAGACACCCGTGATGTTATAGTGGTCGCGGATATCGATATCGTTACGCAGCGTCCTCAATGCTATATGAGGCCTATCGTCATTTCGGCCCATGTCAGCTCCTCTGCGTGGAAGCTGGCAGTTTCCAAATTCGTCATTTATCTATTCCTCGTTCGACAGACACTTTAAAACTGTGTCTGTACCCGACGCTGTGATCATTATTATTGTGATTTACTGAGTGCCTGAGATGGACTCGTAAGGAGGAAAGCAAATGCGAGTACCAGACGACACAAAACTCAGATTTACAACTAGTCCATCAATCGATGATCTCCTCGATCAATTTGGCGATCGAGGAGATCGATCTAAACCAAACATCTACTGATGATTCGTTCGACACTCGAGTCTGACATAAAAGTATTCATTCTCGTTGTACCGAAGATAGATCTAGGTGTCGGGGTGGTGAGGCGGAAACGCATCTAAGGATTTAAGTTTAGATGGAATTTTTTCCCCATTTTTTCCTTTTTCCCACTCCCCCTTAATTCTTTCAACAATGCCATAGGATTGATTTACCTGCGGGTTCGGTTGTAAATGTGCTGAGCCTCGGCCCGCCATTTTTGCTTATAGTGTGTATATTCGAGCTCCATGCGATTGAAAATTATTATCTTTCAGTCATTTTGTTCATATTATTCGTTCCTTTTCATCATCATCTTCTTATATATTTATATATATCTATATGTATAAGAAATAATCTTTACGCTGGCGTGTCACGCAACAATATGGATTCAGGCGCCGACAAGAGCGATCAATTTTCGATAGATATTTGCGACTTAAACTAGAGGATGTGCCAAATCGAGTCAGGGCAGGGGGGACGAATCGGACGATGCCCACAGACCAAGCCTCTGTCTGTCGGAACAATGAGAATGAAGGTCTCCGTTTTGAACTCAGGGACTATACGACGAAGATTCGATGCCCGAAAGGTCATACGCCCGAAAAGACACCCGAAAAGGTGCCTCATGATCCATCGCATGGATCAGCAATCTCGACCGCAGATTGTTGCCGATCCTGACCCGAAATTATCGAACCTTAGGGCCTTTTCAATCCACGCCGTAGATCTAAGACGAATACTTGGAATATTTCGTGATCTTATGCAGAAGGCCTTTTATTTCCTTCTCTCTGACTATACATACTCCACGGTGAGTAATTTATCATGAATTATATTTTTACGTACCAAGTATTGAGATACTGTCATGATGCGTATGTTCGATCGCAGTGGGACTTCATCAATCATGTATGAAGACTGACTGGCAAATTTACTTCAAAATCGTCCTCAGTAACAAACTACGGATTTCATTTTATCTCGTTGTTGAACCGGAAGCCGTGTGGGAAAAACTTAAAACTTAAATAGACTCGGCTGCACTTTGGCACAAATTGGAAGAATCCCTTGTGACGCATCCTCCATCCTTTTGCAGGTTTCTCAAAGGATTTGATACGAGTGCTGCAGATTTCATTGATTTTTCGAGTAATGCGACGAAGATAAAAACATCGAGCGAACATAGAATCTTCCAAAACTTTGTGAGAAATCGTGTCAGGCCAGGACCATCATCACATCACCTTCAATTGTGGAAGCCTATTACGACATGCGAAGCCCACTGATGTAAATCGAAGCGCACTTGGCGGCGCACTTCGACAGGATTGAATCGAGCTGAAGCAGACACGCGTGAAGCCATGGATTTCATACCAAGACTGAAAGCATGAGGTGCCTGTTGAATGTTTTCTACTGTAAGCTTTGAAACTCTATAGCTGGCCGTATCCTCACCCACGAACAGCATTTCAGGAGCTGGTACATAGTCACGAGCCAAGAGAAAAGTGAACTTGCGACGGGGCGGAGGTCTCTGTCCAAATGTAGCACAAGATTTCAGGCTACAGCCGTCAGATTTTTATTGACGATGACAGCATGTCCGGTCGTTGCTCGCTCGCATGCATGAATGTTTCTTAGTATCCAGCAACTCAATCTTGTATAAGTATGCAAAAGAGGAGTCCATTCTTAGATTTCTTTTATTGAAAAGCTTTATTTTTTTCTCAATGTTGCATCAATGCCACATTGTGAATGAAATCCAAGCTTATTTTCAGAAGTTGAAGTCATGACTCAACTCTTGCAAACGGTAAATGTGAGTATTTGGATGAGATTTCTATTGAACTTCTCAAGTGGGGAGTAGATGCTATTGGGCCTATACTGACGAAAGTGTTAGAGGATACTGCTATTCATGGCTTTCCTTCATCTTGGTCACTACATAAGATTGTTACTACTCACAAATATGGAAGGAAGATCTTGGTGACAAACTATCGCACTATCATGGTGGGTAGTATTTTTGCCAAGTTATTTGGCAAATTGGTGGAGTCAAAATTGAGCACATGGGCTGAATCTTGTTAGAAGAGAGCACGGTTCCAAGCTGGTTTTCGTCTTACATTCAACACTATAGACCATATCTTGGTTTTAGGTGTTCTATGGGAGAAATCCAAGGGTAATGGATAAGCTTTGTTTTGTGCCTTCATTGATTTCAAGAAAGCTTTTGACACAGTACCTTGTGAGCTTTAATGGCAAAGATTGCAAACCACAAAACAAAGCTTTTCCATTACCCTTGGATTTCTCCCATAGAACACGTAAAACCAAGATATGGTCTATAGTGTTGAATGTAGGACGAAAACCAGTTTGGAACCGCGCTCTCTTCTGACAAGATTCAGCCCAATATTCAACCAACGTCCTTCCTCAATTCCAAGCCTATGAGATCCTATTCTATACTTGGCAATAATATGACGTAAAGATGTAGCGATTTGTGCAACAAGTTACCCTTGCTCACAATAAATAAGCATAGGATTCACATGAAGTTGATAAAACTGCATTTTAATGCCTCCTCTCCTCCAAATGATGTGGAGAAACTCCTCCTTAATACGCTCGCGAAGAGCCATAGCCATAGGAGGAGCGAAACTCCTCCTATGCTTGTTTATTGTGAGCAAGGATATTTACTTGCAGGGATATCTACTTCTTTACGTCATATTATTGCTAGACATAGAACTGGATCTCATAGTCTTGGGATTGAAGAATGGCGTTGGTTGAACATTGATAGGAGTGAACGTATTTGTAGGCTATGTGATGGAAGAAAAGTTGAGGATGAAGAGCATGTATTTCTTACTTGTACTAGGTATGTAGAGATTAGAGTGGCTCATAAAGTTGTGGTTGAGAATTTTTATTCTTTGCTTCAGCTTGAACCTTATGATTTAGGTTGTTACATTAGGGATCTTATTAGTTACCGTTCTAGTGCTTTGGACACTAGCTAGAGGGTTCTTTTGGTTCTCTCCTTGTTTGGGTTGGATTCTTTGTATTGTGTTATTTAGCCTTTTGACCCTTTGGGTCCCACGGGCTTGATCTATTTACCATTTACCATTTACCATAGGTTGCAGATCCCAATCCAATTCCGTCACATTCCACCTCAAAGACCAAGTCATCACATCTGCAAACCATCAGAGATTTTTCAGATCGAACGGAGTTTCAGAGTCAGAGTGCGTCCAATTTTGAGTTTTGAGCTTTGAGTTTCAAGATTTGAGGGCAAGAGATTCTTACGGGAGCTGTATCTTTGACGTTAGGAGTGATCTGGAGCTAAAATTTGGTGGATTGTATTGGACCGGTTCTCACTAAGCTTTTGGAAGATGCTATAGTTCATGATTTTCCATCAACTTGGTCCATGCGGAAGATTGTTGCTATTCATAAATCAGGAAGGAAGGACGTGGTGACAAACTATCGCACCATCATGGTTGGTAGTGTTTTTGCCAAGTTGTTTGGGAAGTTGGTAGAATCGAAGTTGAGCACATGGACAGAGGATTTTCAAAAGAGAGCAAAGGCTCAAGCTAGTTTTCGTCCTACATACAACACTATTGACCACATTTTGGCCTTACGTGTTTTATGGGAGAAATCCAAGGGCAATGGGAAAGCTTTATTTTGTGCCTTCATCGATTTGAAGAAAGCTTTTGGTAAATGGTAAATGGTAAATAGATCAAGCCCGTGGGACCCAAAGGGTGAAAAGGCTAAATAACACAATACAAAAAATCCAACTCCAAACAAGAAGAGAACCAAAAGAACCCCCTAGCTAGTGTCCAGTGCACTAGAACGGTAACAAATAACATCCCTAATGTAACAACCTAAATCATAAGGCTCAAGCTGAAGCAAAGAATAAAAATTCTTAACAACAACTTTATGTGCCACTAATGTCTACATATCTAGAACAAGTAAGAAATACATGCTCTTCATCCTCAACTTTCCTACCATCACATAGCCTACAAATACATTCACTCCTATCAATGTTCAACCAACGCCCTTCTTCAATCCGAAGACTATAAGAACCTGTTCTATGTCTAGCAATAATATGACATAAAGAAGTAGATATCTCTGCAAGTAAGTATACTTGCTCACAATAAACAAGCATAGGATTCACATGAAGTTGATAAATCTGCATCTTGGTGCCTCGTCTGCTCCACATAATGCTGAGAAATTCTTCCTTAATACGCTCGCGCAGGGCAATAGGTTGCAAATCGCATTCGAGTTCCGTCACATTCCACCTCAAAGATCAAGCCATCACATCTGCAAACCATCCCTTGGAACGTGTGGCACGCAAAGCATGAAGAGGAAGTCGAGAAGCATCAAGAGATCTCACCCTTCTAATATAAGTGATGGTCAAGTAGAGAGCTTCAACCTCAAGAGGTAGACAACCTGTTTCCGCAAGAAGAATAGCATAAGGAGTTTGGTTCCTTACACCTAACTCTTCTTGTAAGAAGATCTTTTGCACCCTCTCCACACGCTCCCAACTTGTCTTCTTACTGCCAAGACCCCACACTTGTGTCCCATATAGAACCACCGGCAACACTAAACTCCTAAATAAAAATTTCCTAAGACTCCAAGATACTAGATGAGCTCTTCTACATCGATTTAACAATGAATATAGAGCTTTGTAACCAGCTTTTACTCTCTTTTGTACACAAAGTGCCCAACTATAATTCTGAGAAAAATCAATGCCTAAATATTTGTAACTCTTCACTTGTTCCAATTCTAGTCCCTTGTAAAAGAGAGAGAACTTGGATATTGCCCACAAGAATGATCTTTGATTTTTCGAGATTGACCTCCATCTGATTTCGAGTACAAAAGCTAGCCAAAGTATCAAGGTGTTTCTGTAAACTAATTGCATCACGTGCTATTAATATGATATCATATGCATACAAAAGAGCTTTGATCACAAAGTCTCCAAGTTTGACTCCTTCACTCTCACAATCATCCAACCACCTTTCTATATCATCTATGAATATTCCGAATAGAGTAGGAGAGAGAGGACAACCTTGAATAACTCCAATGGTGCTCGAGATCTCTTGAGGCTGAGAGGCATCAATCTTAGCTCAAACTGAAGTGTATAAAGTGGCCACAGCTCCGAGTAGATTAGCCGGTACTCCAATGTCTTGTAGTCTTTCCCATAAAAGCTTTCGAGGAACAGTATCAAAAGCTTTCTTCAAATCGATGAAGGCACAAAATAAAGCTTTCCCATTGCCCTTGGATTTCTCCCATAAAACACGTAAGGCCAAAATATGGTCAATAGTGTTGTATGTAGGACGAAAACCGGCTTGGGCCTTTGCTCTCTTCTGAAAATCCTCTGTCCAAGTGCTCAACTTTGATTCTACCAACTTCACAAACAACTTGGCAAAAACACTACCAACCATGATGGTGCGATAGTTTGTCACCACGTCCTTCCTTCTTGATTTATGAATAGGAACAATATTCCGCTTGGACCAAGTTGATGGAAAACCATGAACCATAGCATCTTCCAAAATCTTAGTGAGAACCGGTCCAATACAATCTCCTCCCCACTTGATAAGTTCAATGGACAA